CCTCCAAATTTTCATGATGCTGTTTAGAAATATTTTCCCATGCCAATTATTTATTTCATAATGAACTAAAGGAACCGTGTCATTTAAAGTCAGACTTATAACCTGTCTGGAAAGCTAGTCAGACAACTGCTGACAAGCTTGTAATGTACGACTATGACAGAGCAATTACTAATTCATCAATGAAACCTAAAGCAGTATATCTGGACGGAAGTATTTATACGCAGACAACCATCACCTGATGAATATCCCAAGGGGTATGTCATCTCTCCGAAACTTAGAAACCAATTAAAGTATACCCGTCATGAGAAAATTTGTGATGACAGCCTTTGCAAGTCTCCTTCTGGAAATGCTATTTTTCCGGCTAATTCAACGAGAGTGATTCAATAAAGTCATTTTCTGGTGTTATGGTCGTAATAGAAAGTCCTGCGACTACCGTAATTCATCAAAGCCGTGAAAGAGTTTTCTTGCTATTTCTGACAAATTGGGGTCCTTTTTTTATGTGTAAGACCTTTACGTTCTGGGGCTATGGCTGCGACAAATTCATAGATGCCACCAAATTGTTGGTAAGATAAGTGGAGGTGAAAAAGACTTCTTCAATGTAAGGACCCATTCACACGGGGTGTTTCGGGATTCCTGTGGCAAGAACCTACAGATTCCTGCTGCAGGTGTCCCGCTCAGATGCAGCCACTGTACCCATTGAAGTTAATGACAAGGTGACAACGGCCGGATCTGTAAGAGATCATTAGCATGTAATCGTACATGGTATGGGATAGATGATTGTTGCTAAAACCCATCTACTGGCTCCTGAATTCTATATCAATTTTTCCACCCTCGACGTAGATTATTGTACGAGACGTGGTGCCTCAACATATCAACATTCGTATAAAAAAAAGTCTGTTGTCAATAATACACACAGACTATGTTCTAAAACTACCCAGCTCCAAATGATTGGTCTGGGAACACCATTCAGCCTATAGTTGGTGTTACAGGGGCGATTTTCTGAGGTTCAATCACAGCTAGGAGTAGATATGATAAAACTTATAGTGTAACCTACAGAATCAGTATAAAGGCAATGATTAATCTCGCACAAACAATTGCTACTTGTGTAGTTTACACCGTAGGGAGCCATTTGTTCAAACAGTGAGTGATCTATTGCTACTCTTCTTTTAGGTGAATCTGATCATAAGCTCAATGTTAGTCTATGGACAGGCGAATATAAACGGACATGAGTCTGTTTACATACGATTACCTCCAAGTCCATTTTAAAAAAATTAAAAAATGCAAAAGGTTTGTGTCTTTTTCTGTTTTTTTCTAATACCTAAACATTACAGATTAGAGGTAACGTGAAGATCTGTTTACTTCTGCCTCTCCATAGACTTAACATGGGTCCATTCAGCTCCATGGAGTAAATACTAAACAGCCATGAATGTCACAAGAGTGACATCCCTTCCATTTGAGGATTATGTTCATGGATTACCTGTTGAGTGCAACAGACTCCGTTGGTAAAGAAGGGCCCTTAAACTGAGAGATTTTCCTGAGAATGTTCATAGGAAAAATCTCACCAGAACATTCGATAATGCCATCAGAGACTTATAGAATGTCGTTCCAAATTTGATTTATTTTAACATGATGACATGCCACTCACTAAACGAATTTTGCACAGTGTATAATGGCTGTTAGGGCTCAGACAGTTATAGGCTGCTGTCATCAACTGCACAAACCTCTTCCCAGTTGATTTCTCTTGTGATTGTGCACAATCACAGCAACCCATAATCAAAGGCAATTGCAAGACAAGTCAATGGAAAGGACTGTGTGACTGATGGCAGCATTCCGTTACTAGTCTGGCCTGTGTAGTGACAGCGAGAGATAATCTAATGATATTATTGACATACATGCCTTTTCTCAGCAATCTGACAGTGTGAGAGGTACAAACTTACACAAAAGATATGTCGGGATTCCAGCACTGCAAAACTAATAAAGTGGGTGGCAGTTTTCATCCAATTCCTCTATTCATAATAGTGATAACCTGGCACCAGTTAACAGCTACGGTGTGCTAAGAAGTGCAGCAGTGTGAGGTCAGAAAAGTAAAAATGATCTTACAAGGATTGAGCACAAAAAGAAGTGTAAGGGCACACACCTTACAAACATCGCAAGACTTTTGTCTTGCGATAGTTGTAAGGTAATTAAAAAAACATACGATCTGCCCATCTTGGACAGGCAGATCGTACTTGCGATGATCGGAAGCCACGCCCCCCGAGGGGCGGGCTTCCGATGACCGCAATGCCGAACAGGCAGTGTGCGCTTTTATCTTACGAACATACTACACACCCGCCGAACATCGTAAGATGCTCGGTGGGTTTTCGAACATGTTCCTAAGATAAAAGTCGTGCAACCTTACAGTAGTAGAGGTCGCACGGCTTCCACACACCTTACGATAATCGTACGATCGCGGGATTTCCCGCAATTATTGTACGATTATCGCAAGGTGTGTGGGCACCTTTAGTCTATGGCATTACCTGGGACAGATCTAGAAAAATAAATGGATCAGAGATCCGTTTTGCTGAACCCGATTGTGCCAGATCTGATGTAAACGGACACAAATCCGACTCCCCATAGACTGACATAGGGTGCACATCGCAAGATGGAGATAAAAGTCACAATGGTGACATCTGATCAGTCTGGAATCTGTGCACAGATGATCAGCCCGTGTGAAAGGGACCTATGAGTTGGCAGGCGATAAGTGCTTGTTGTTATGGGCTAAACACATGAAAACGCACATTACATGTCTTTTTCAGTTGAAGTCTATGAGGCTGAGAATGCACTGTGTAGCACCTGCACCTCTCTAAAAAAGATCACACTACACCATGTCGCAATGGTGTAATCAGGGACCATAGAGAACAATGTGATTTCCATGACTAGTGTGAATGGGTGGGCTAAACAAAATGGGATTTCATATGAGAAGCATTAACTAGCTGACAAATGTGTTCATTCAGATGATAGTGTTCATTATTAAGGGGAGGGGAGGTTCTCTATAAACGCTGATTGCCTTCAATATGAGGTTTATGAGGACATTTTTGGTGAATGAGTGAATATTCATGTTATAAAGTCAATGGGAGATTGGACTATATAAAAAGTACTAGAACGGGCCGTCAGCTGAGTTTATATGGTATCTGTACCTTCTAAATCAGGGGTGGGCAACTCCAGCCTTCCAGCTGTTGTAGAACTACAAGCCCCATGAGGCATTGCAAGAGTGCCAGCTACAGGCATGACTCCCAGAGGCATGTTGGGATTTATAGTTAAAGCACAGCTGGAGGGCCGCAGTTGCCCACCCCGGACCTAAATTGTACTGCCATTCCCTAAATAAACAGATATGAGAGGCGGGATGTGATCACACAAGTCTAAAGCTGCCCATACACTGGTAGATTTCTGTACAAACCTTCATATGAAAAATCTGCCATCGGAGACTTGACGACTGTCATTCGAACAGTTGTATGATTTTAACATTTCATTTTGGAGTTTCCTGAACTAAAAGCGCATTCCCGGTTAGAATTTTGTTGCAGAAAAGTATTCCACTCCGCTCCTTGACTTTTGTCATTCCTGCAGCCCAGAACATTGTTGATGTGACCCCATTAACTATTAGAGTATCAAATGGACCTTCCAAAACATCCTACTAGTGTTCGGTCAGCTTTAGCCAGCCCATCATTTCCGCAGCGCTCCCATTCACACCTGAGCATGAGCATTTTTTGACGTATTTATTCGTTCAGATTTAAGCATCATTGTCTTAGCCAATAGAAAGACAGCTACTAGGAGAAGGAGACTGTTAGGCACAAAAGCACACAAAGTGCATTTTACAGGCCTGTCCCTAGTCCATGGGGCTAAAAATACCCAAATATGCCCAAAAAGAAATTCATGTACATTTTCAAGCTTTTAGGCTCCATTCACACATCGCGGTAGCGTTTTCTGCGCAGCACGAAAACGCCCAATATACGCACCAGTTACTATAGCCAGAACGTGCAGAATCTGCCTATAAAAAAAATAAAAATAAAATAAAATATCACACTTGAACTATTTTGCGGGTCGCCGCAATAGTCTGAACAATGCACATTGCAATGCATTTTTTTATGTTTAGCGCATTTCCACGCATACCGCTCATGCGCGAGTAGAGCCCAAGTGATGCAATGCTCTGCTGTGAACAGGCATTAAAAAAAAAATAGAATCCTTCATATTGAGCATTGTCGCATTTCGAGAAACACACAAAAACCACACAGGTGTGAACAGGCACCTTTAAAAATAAGAGGATCCTTCACGTTCAGTGTTGACGCACTTCGGGAAGCACAGGGCGCAATGCTCAGGTGTAAATGGGCACCATTGAAAATAATGGGATCCTACATGTTGAGCGTTGTTGCACTGCTGGAAACGCAACAAAACGCTAATGTGTGAACAGGCACCTTTGAAAATAATAATATCCTTCATGTTAGGCAGTGTAGCACTGTGGGAAACATGAGACGTAACCCTCATATGTGAATGGGCACCACTGAAAGTAATAGGATCCTTCATGTTGATGCATTGTGGCTCTTTGGGGAGATGTAACCCTCATATGTGAATGGGCACCACTGAAATGAATAGGGTCCTTCATGTTGATGCATTGTGGCACTTCGGGGAGATGTAACCCTCATGTGAATGGGCACCACTGAAATGAATAGGGTCCTTCATGTTGATGCATTGTGCACAGCGCATGCACACAGGTGTAAATGGGTACTTATACTAGAAAACTTTGATATCTAGTATACAACTTGTGTAAAATCCAAAACAATAACAACAACATCTTGGAGAGATCTGTACACTGCCCATAATACACACATGTGAAAGCGACGTGAACACACACATTCATTTTGTATGATTTACAGACACAGTGAATGAGACATCTAGGGGTCTATCACCCAAGAGTCCCCATCACAGTCCACTGGGAATTGGGTGAAAGAAATGTCCGTGGGACTTACCCAGAGTTTCTGCCAGCAGCCTTGGCGGAGCGGAGAGTGAGGTGAGTAGTACGGTGAGCAGTGCAGCCCCGGGCTGTGTCCAGTATAGTCCAGTGTTCCCAGCCATGGCTCTGAGAAGTCAGCCCTCTCCCGGAAAGTTGTCAGCCTGTCACTAGAAGCAGGATATCCTCTACAGACACTGAGCCCCCGACTCTCCATACAGAGAGACAATCAATGAACACTCCGTTCCCGAGCTGGACACTACACACACACGTCCCAATCCTCCTCCTCTACTGTCCCGAGTGACACCGAGTCCCCGCACTCCTCCTCATCCCGGGCTGAAGGGAGGGACGGACGATTCAACACTCTGCACACTGCTCAGCAGCGACACCTGCCGGCGGCTCCGGGGAATAGCAGGCATCTATCCACCAATGCAGCCACATTGGGAGAACACCTACTTTGTATTTGTTACTTGTTCTCATTCACATTTAGGCCCCATTCACATGTAGCGACATACCTTTGCAGCGGCCGGGATAGCGCGACTTTCGGGGCGACGTTCCAGCGACGATCCAGCGACGGTAGCTCGACCTTTCCTCGTCGGGCTCCATAGAAAAAAAGCAAAATCGCGCAAAATCCGCTGAAAAAAGGGTCCGGTAGAAGCGACTTGCGACTGCGACGAGCGACGCGCGACATGGAGCTAAGACAGCTCCATTGACTATCATTAGCCGGCGACTTCTCGCGATATCGCGGCGGAAATCGCGTGATAAGTCGCTACATGTGAACGGGGCTACAAGTGACACTAACTCAGGAGTGACATCTTAAGAATACACTCCAGAGATTATTTGAGGATCCACAGCTGAGTGTAGGGCTGCAACAACTAATCGATTAAATCGATAATAATCGATTATGAGAATAGTCCCAACTATTCTCATTATCGGTTAGTTGGTTGGGGGGAGGAGAGAGATAGAGATATTTTTGTAATGTAACCAATCGATTAGTTGGAAAAATAATCGGGTAACTAAACGATTATGACAATTATTGTTAGCTGCAGCCCTGGTACACAAAATAGGTTACATTTTTGTTAATAGATAAGGTACTTGAACACATTTTTAAGATTTAACTCCTGAGTTTAGAGTCACTTTAAGCAGCTGACAGTCTGTGCCATACCCAGTAATCAGAGGACTGTTGAAGCAAATTAAGGTGCTGTCCGGTCACCTTGTGTTAACCATTCCTACACTGGCAGTGAGCTGTCCCTGTTTTCTGCCTGTGCCATATGTCCACCATCTAGAAAAAGCATATTTCTGAGAAGGAGCCAGCAGGCCTAAGTAGTATTGCCTAGGTTGCAAGGGAGCCCACATAAATTACCATATCATTCCATATGCAGTTGCCCCAATATACAGTAGTACTAACATAATTGTTGAAGGTATTCTGTACTTATTGCTTAGGTGTTCATTCCAAAATTTGGGCCCAAATATTTCTAAGTGTGATGAACATACCACACAAACAACAAAGTTTATTTTACAGAACTAAATTATTAATACAAATTCTATCTATTCCAAGCTTAATTTATCATTAAGTCTAAATGAATGGAAATCTTTCCAGAGACAACATGGAAACTGCCATAGCTACATAGTTACATAGTTACATAGTATTTGAGGTTGAATAAAGACATCTTTTTTTTTTTCTTTCTGGTTTTTTTTTATTCTGAAAATGTCAGCCTAGCTGCCATGTTGCCCCTCTTGCTTTAGTACTGTACGGAATGATTTGTGGTGTAAAAATTGGCACATGTTCTGTGCGTCAGATTAACATACGTTATAAGGCTCTGTTCACACCTAGGCGTATCGAATATGCGCGTTTCCGAGGGCTACTTGGCTGTAGCCCAATGGAAACGCGCGACAAAAACATTGCAAAGAAGCAATATTCGATACGCATAGGTGTGAACAGAGCCTAAGTGGAGTTGAAGTATCCAGGCCAAATCACATTAAAAGTGCTATGTGAAAATGTCTATAAATGTCTGATCGAGTGCATCATAATAATGAAGCACGTGCACCAATGTTCTCATTTAACCCCTTCGTGACTGACGACGTACAGTGTACGTCGCCAGCATCGGGGCATGAAGCCTGTCTCCTCCTCTATTGCAGCGTTGTTATGTACTTCAGTGTCCTGGTCAAACGTGATGATTTGAGGTTCCTTAGATCGGGGAGTGAGGCTCCGGGGACCAGTTGAAGAGTCAGCCAGCTCGGAGGTTTGGATGAGTATAACTTTTTTATTTTTTATTCTAGGCAAAAACTTTGCAGTGCGGGGGTAGCCACACTGCAAGGGTTAATTAATTTTTTACCCAGAGTTCTTTAAAAAGATTTCTAAAAAATACACTATTACCAGAGTGGTGTACTGTATATACAGTATTGTAGAGAGGAAGGGTGACAGTGAAGATCAGAGGAGAGGGGGATGTTTATTTACAACCAGCAAGGTGCAGCAATAAGAGGAGAAGAAAAAATATTGGATGATCCAAGCAGTACCTCCAATTTGCTTCAAGATTTTGGCGCATGCGACCACCATACGACAAATGAACAAATTGTCATGCACCACTTTTATTCATTTGTTGCAGAAAGCAGTAATTAAACCGGCATATAGAAATTGGCACGTTTTCAGCATGCAGCAGTCTTTTGTTAATCCCAACCTGTCTTGTCATAAAGCCCTCAGCCAATTCAGCCAATGACTGCTGGAATTTCAAAGTCTAAAAATGATAGGTGGCTGCGGAGCAATATGGACAGTTTTTATTTCAGACAATTTTATAAATGAGGCAGGTTTGGGTAGCTTTTAAAACCATATTGATAGCATTGAATCACTTTGGCGCACATGTCGCTGTTTTAAAGGGTATCTATGGTCAAAAACTAAAAATAAATACATATTTCTATATTGAAGTTCCTTAAGTTCTATCACACTCTTTATATAAACATATTCATCTAGATATTTGTAAACTTACTCATTGAGGATGCTCATAGGATGTACTTCCTCAATGCACTGACACAATTTCATTCAGCCCTATGATTACACACTTCCTTGTGTCACAACTCTCACAGAGCTTGCCTTCTGAACTACAACTCAATGGCGGAACAATGTAACATTATCATTGCTTGCTGGAAGCTGTACATGATGGGATATGTAGTCTTGAGAAATGGAGATTACAATACATCTAGCAGTAGGAAAAGCAAAGCACACTGGGAATCCAGGAAGTTGATGAAAGTGATGGGCAGACAGAATCCAGCACTCACTTCATAAAAGGGATTCAAGTAAGCTTTGATTGCATTATGAAAATCAACTATAGAATGTATTCCTATTACAATGCTGATGTTATAACAGGATAATATGCTGGTACTTTACAACTCTAGTTCTACAAGCTAAGTAATGGGGCACTGCTGCACTCCCTACTTCTGAACTCTAATCACACTCAGTGTCTTTATATTTAAATGCCACACTGTCACTCTAATACCATCTGAGCATTTTATGTCATCAAGGCTTTAAAGAAGCAGTGTATGTACACAAACTTACTATACCACCCAGCCCAAAACATTTCAGCTATTTGAAGATCTAAGAGCCATAGCACATTCCACAAGAGCACATGACAGCCAAGAGAAGGTGTCATCCACCAAGGCACTTCTCAAGTCAAATATGTACACATTTGTCACTATGCAGCCATTACATACATTCCTGTCCGATGTCCAATGATTTAGAAGCACAGTTTAATCTCTTACAAAGCATAACAAGGTTGTGCAAAAAATCAATTTTGTAATAAAGAAAAGTGCTCAATTCTCAAGTTTTGCAGAAGTCGCAGTTCTATAAATGTATGCAGTTCTCACTGAATATAATATACATGTGCATTATGCACACATGCTTACTACTGAAACAGTGCCAAATAAAAGTCTGTAATGAGAATGATATATACTATCAAAACTGACGGAATTGAGAATTGTTGATTCAAAGCAGTTCCTGGAAAGTAACACTTTGGGCCTTTTCAGACTTCTGCATTGCTATAACGCAACACACAGCAGCACACCTGGTGCATTGTGGTGCCATTCCTTTTGAATGGCACAGAAAAGCATTAAAACACTAGCAGGCAACACAACTGCACTGCATGGCACCACAACACACATGCCACGCACTGCGGTGCGCTGAACTGAAAATAAAGGGTAAAAAATGTTGTTGAATTTTTTGCCATGCCTTGGCAGCTCATTTAATATAAATGGCCTTCTGATCGTAATGCATGTTAATACATGAGATTCCGTTTGTTAAAGCATGTGCGGTAATACACAGCAATAGGTTGAATATATCTGATTCCAGCCAAAAGCCACAAATCCCCTGCTGTTTGTATAAAAGCAGTGCATACAGGAAGGTTTTCTATGCCCCCATTCACACTTGATCATTGTCATTTTCAAAGAATTTTGAAGTACTTTTCTTGCACTCTCAAGCTAAAATAGAGGGCACTCAGGCTAGTATACATGCAGATCACTCTGAACAAGGCCTAAAGTCAGGTACACATGGTACGAAAATTCGCACTGTGGCTGTCGGCAACTTTCTGTCTGGCATCCCTTGGCGGCCGCTGTTAGTGTACAATGGAAACAGCAGGGGATTTGTCCATCAACGCTTGTAAGCATTGATGGAGGAACCTGTTCTATGTGTTTCATTCAGCCCACGGGCGTATACCCAGAGTCACTCCTGTAACTGTTTATAGTGTTCTCTGTGATTCTGTGGGGGGGGGTGGGATCCTCTTTTTTCCCAGATGACATCAGTCGTAATAACAAAGCATGAGGGGAAATCTTCCGAAATGGGATATAGACAGCAGTAGAGACCAAGGTTCCAACCCTGCCAACCTAGAATTAAAAAAAAGCTGTAGCTACACTTCTTTGGAGGTTTGTGGATACACATATGAATGTTATCAGCTTACTTTATATAATATTACCTGTGTTTGTTAATATTTTGTAACTTGTTTCTCTGTATATTAACTTTTTTATTACAGGTTTATATAGCGCCGACAATTTACGCATCACTTTACATAGTACATATTAACATCAACCCCTGCCCTCAAGGAACTGACAATCTAAGGCCCCTACCTCATATGCATACAATCAGTGCAGATTTAGACAGGAGCCAGTTAACCTTCCAGCTTGCCTTTGGGAACGTGGTAGGAAATCGGAGTACCCAGAGGAAACTCAAGCAAGAACAGGGAGAACATATAT